CACACACACACACACACACACACACACACACACACACACACACACACACACACACACACACAAACAAAAATGGGTTGGCGAAAGGTGGAAAATTGGAAATACAGAAATGCTGGAAATATCTGCATCCTGTGAATGCAATGTAAAACCAAAATTTTGCTTTTCCTGCTCTTTTTGAGACTTTTGGATTTATTTTTTTGCTCACAGTTTTTTACTTCGGACCACTTTGGTGTGGTTATGGCTGGCAGGGTTATCGTCACCTGGATCGAAATTTCAGGCAGCAAGCTTTGCGATTTTTGGCGATTAATTTCGGTGTTGACGATGCTCGCGTGCGACGGTTACTGAATCATTACATCTCAATGCCTCCTGCCTCAGGTAACCGTGACTTAAAGCCTTAAAGTGATTGGCTAAACCAAAAGGTAGTGAGCAAGGGAGGGAGGGAAGAAGTGAGGTAGCAAGGGAGTAAGGTTGCAAGGGAAGGATCAAGGGAAAAAGCAGTGGAGTGAGTGAGGGAGTGCCCCGCTCCCTTGCTACTAGTTGCTATTGTGGGTGTGGGAACAAGGAAAATGGAGTGAAGGGATTGAGGTTGCTTCCTCCCTAACTCTCTTGCTTCCTCCCCCCGCACTCTCTTGATAGGGAGCAAGGGAGCATAGCACGGCAGGGTATGAAGCAAGGTAGGGAGTTGGGGAGTGAGGCTGCCTCCTCCGTTGTGCAGTTCTGTACGAGGGGACTCCGAAGGAGTGAGGGAACAAGGAAAGGAGTGAGGATGCTTCCTATTCTGATCCCTACCTAACCCTATTGCTAGGGATTGAGGGAACAAGGGGGGTAAGCACAGGCGGAAGCTACGGGGGGAGTGAGGGAGGAAGGGAGGTAGGGTGTGAGGGAGTGAGTGAGGCTGCTTCCTCCCTTGCTCAATCCCTTGCCAGGGAACGGAAGGAGTGAGGTGCGAGGATGCTTTGCTTTCTCTCTTACGTCCTCACTAACACCCTTGCTAGCGAGCGAGGGAGCAAGGGACGGAGCATGAAAGGCAGGAAGGGAGAGACAGAGGTTGCTGCCTCCCTTGCTCACTCCCTTGGTGGAGAGTGAGGAAGCAGGGGAAGAGATGAGGGAGTGGCGTTGCTTCCTCGTTTACTGCCTTGCCAGGAGTGAAGGCGAAAGAGGGCGGGTCGGAGGAAGGCTAAAGACTCTTGCTGTCTTTGTCCCTGGTTAGGGAGAGAGCAAGGGATGAAGCAACGTAGGAACCAAGAGAGGGAGTGAGTGACTGGGGTTGCCTCCTCCTGTGCTCCCTGGCTCCCTGCCCCTCCCCCCCCACACACACACACACTTGGGAGAAAGGGAGAAAGCAAGGCAGGGAGTGGGCATGTGTGGAAATGAGGGAGGGATTAAGAGTGGGGGCGAGAGGGAGGTAACAAGAGAAGGTGTGAGTGAGTAAGTGAGTGAGGAGGGAGGGAGGAGAGAGGGAAAAAAGGGTGAGGGAGTGAGGAAACTAGTGAGTGTCGAAGCGACGGAAGGCGGTGAGTGGGGGGGCGGGGGGGAACAGACAGAGGGCCCAAAGTGAAAAATGGACATTTGTAGGAAATACGCAGTATGATTTAGAGAATAGCAAAAAGAACGGCTTGTGTGCCTTTTTTTTTTTTTTGTGTGTGTGTGTGCCTCATGCTGTCTTCTCTTTTCTTTGTTTGCTTTGCAAATACATATCTGAGATAACGTGACAATATGTAGTGTAAGGTTATGAATGTGTAAATACACATACTACACAAGTCAAACCTGCATTCACAAATAGATATGTGAAAACATAGAGTATATAAGACTATGAATGTGAAATTACTTACTACTAAGTAGTAAGTATATAATTTAGAACTGTGTTTGCAAATAGTTATGCAACAATATATATGGTATAGGCTCGCCACGTTGATGAAGTTGAGCACGAGCTGCCCGCATCCCCGTGTGCCATAACGGCCCACGCGTACGCTGTGAGAAAGAGGCAGAGCAAAGGGGGAGGGGATAAACACAGAGAAGAGAGATGGAGAGAAGACGAAGCAAAGAGTGACAAAGGGAAAAGTAGGGGAAAGTAAGGAGTGTAGAACAATGCATGTCCGCTCTGTCGTCAAGGACAGACTGATTCGTGAGCCTTTTCTTATCCTCTGCTTCGCCTTCATCTTCATTCCACGCTCCTTACTTTTCCTTTGTCGTTCTTTGTTTTGTCTTCTCTCCCATCTCTCTTCTCTGTGTTTATCCACTCCCCCTTTGCTCTGCCTCTTTCTCACAGCGTACAAGTGGGCCGTTATGGCACATGGGGATGCGGGCAGCTCGTGCTCAACTTCATCAACGTGGCGAGCGGCACGGTGAAGTGGGAGTTAAAAAAAGAAGAATGACAAATATGAATGGTTTCAGTGTGATCTTCATGTTTGTCTTGTTTTTGTTTTTTTTTTCACCGTTTGTTTCGCAAAGTGCGCGCTTTTAGTTCATGGATATGTGGCAATATACAGTATAAGACTACAAATGTGTACGTACTAAGTGCAAGGAAGATGAGCAATAGCGAACTTCAGCAATCAAACAGCATCATACATATGAGTCCAGATAGTCTTGACCTCGAACCAACAGCAGAATTGCATCACGAGATTCACCAAATAAGAACACACCAAGAGTTCATAATTGACAATGCTAAAATATTCCCATCATCATCAACGAAGAACCAGAGTTGATATCCTATCTGGCGCTCGGCGCCCAGACTACATGTGGCAGATCCTATCTAGCCTATACTACGAAGCCGAAAGATGACATCAACAACATTCCCGAAGTACGAGCATATGGCGACCAATGTCGCACGCTTCCAGCACCAGGTATGTCTCGCGCTACACTCACAACCTCGTTCCCCAACTCACAGATGCCACTAGCACCCAAGGGCCACCCTGCGCCTCACCCAGCTTACAGCAGCGCAGCTCGGCTATGGCCTGTCTCTTATACACATCTAGATGTGTATAAGAGACAGGTTATGGAGGGTGTGTGTGTGTGGGGGGGGTGTGGTGTGTTTGGGGGGTAGGTATAGGGGGGCTATATGGGGTTGGGGGGGGAGGGGGGGGGTATAGAGGGCTATAGGGGCTAATGGGGGGGTTATGAGGCTGTTGGGGGGCGGTTTGGGGTTGGTGAGGGGATGTATGTGCATGGGTCCTGGGGACCATCTCACGCAGATGTGTACATGGCATGCATCATCTTCACAGGCAGTGATCAATAGTCTCAACCATAGACAAAGGTAGAGAAGAAGAGGACCGAGTTTCACAGCTTATATTATCAGAAATATGAATACAAAGTGTTTCAAAGTTCCCCTGAGTTCAGCGCTCATTAGCGCAACACCAATCTCTTGTCAACTCATCAATATGACTTCCAGTGAATCAGCGCTACTCCTGCAGACAGTCTCCAAGTCATCAATGTGGTCACTACTCATCAGCGCCACCCCTGCAGGTCACATCCAACTCAGGTAAGTATCTTCCATAGCCGAACCTTGAATGAACACTCTCAGCCTCAGTCCCTTCCTCCTACGATGCATACACACCCTTCACTCAAGAGGATCTACTCTGAATACTACTCATAACTACATACTAACCCACTACTACTAATGCTAACTCGCTGGGCAGCTATGGCTGCGTCATCTCCAGCGTACAGGCTTCTTCCTGCATTCAGCGCATCTTCTACCTCCAGCGCTGTTCCTCCTGACTCAGCGCACAAGTGCACCAGCACTTCCACGCATTACAGCCAGTGGAGATCTGGCGAGGAATGAGGCAGGCAGCTTCCTTTATAGTGCTGGCCACTCCTCGCTGGGTCTGCATTGGCTCAATTCGGCCTGTCCTTTGTCCCAGACCCTGCATTGCATGTGTCCCAGTATAGTCCCAATGAAGTTCAACTGCTGCTGAGGCCTCTTGGCCTGGATTTGGACTTGAAAGTCTGGATCTGGACTGACCCTTGACTTAGACCAAAACTGGGGCTGTGCCTATTGACTTTACTTTCGGACAGGCACAACTCTAAACGAGCAGACACATTTACTGCTTGAACAGACACTTTCCTTTGCACGAACAGGTACACTGCCTGCACGTACAGACACACTCTTACCCGAACAGACATGACATACACATCTCCTGATGAACAGGTAAGTCTTTTGACAATGCCCTTTGCCTTAGATTTAGAGGTGCCTGTTGATAGAGAACTTGACCTTTGACCTGCTTTCACGTTTCTGAGCCCTGGTGAGATACCTTTTCACAATGCTTTACTTTTACAAGGTCTGTGCTGTGTTACTTTTACAAGGCCTGAGGCCTATTTCGGGTAAAGGCCCTTTTATATGGGGGTGGTGAGGGGGTGTATGGGGGTGTTTGGGGGGTATGGGGGTGTTGGTGGGGTTATTGAGGGTTGTGGACCCTGCAAAAAAAAGCAAATTTTTAATATTTTTTTTATTTGCGGGGTGCCGACCGATCTCCGACCGGTAGGTGCTGACGGGTGGAACGGTCGGCTGGTCGGCAGCCGACCAATCCAGGGGCACCGACAGTTGGCGTGACCACTCCGAGAGCAATTCCCTTTGACATTTTTACCGATACCCTTCTGGTACCGACGGACTTCATACATACCTAGCCGTTAGGCTGTTCCCAGGTATATGTACCAGTCTCACACACTGGTCGGACATCTTGTGCTGTACTCAGTTTTCAGACATTGAGTGCGAGTGCGACGATGTTGAGTTGCTGCTGGTACCCTTTTCTGGGTGTCCTCATCGTACGGAGTCTGACTTTTATCGAGTAGAGTTCTGCGTCGGAGTCTGGTCGCGTGTGTGTGGCTTCACTCCCGCTCACCATTCCTCCTCCTCCTCCTCCTCGAACCCAGTGCTTGTCACAAGGTGTGTGAAAAATGCTTGACAAACGTGTGACAAATGTGTGTGTGTAACAGACGTGTGACAGACATGTGGCAAACATGGTCAAACTCGTGACAAACACGTTCTCTTTCTTTTTTTCTTCTTTTTTTGACAAACATGTTCTCAATGGTCATCAATGACAAATATATATATTCTCAAACGTCGTCACTGAAACTTCCCTGACCCATCACTGGAACTCCCTGACCCATCACTGAAACTTCCCTAACCCATCACTGAAACGTCAACAGAGTTGCAACTCAGGTTGGTGCTGATGCTGGTGTTCAGGTGGGAGTGGAGATGGAGCAGTTCACGGTGGACGACAGGCAGTGAAAGCAGATGATGACATGTTGGGCGCGCATCTGCGAATCGAAAGGGAATTGAGGAGTGCGTTGACTCCGTTATCAGCACGTTTTTTCGAACAAATCAACAGTCGGCCTGGTGGGCTGAAGTTCCTTGTGGATTTACGAGGAGATCTGTTGGCGTTTCTAGGGTGCGTTCACAGCCTTCGACCAAACTTCAAGTGTCGTATCTTTTTTTTTTTTTTTTTTTTTTTTAATAGATAATTAAATCATAATTTAAATAAAGAAAACAAAAAAAAACAGCTGTCTTCTCCTTTTATGGGGGACAAGCTGTGTTTGCTACCTTATCAAGTTTCTGCTCTAAAATCTTATATCTACCTCCTCCTTCGTTTATCTGCCTCCCCCTTAGCTACACACCTACCCTTGTCTAGTAGTCCGACTAGAACCTCTTACCTTAATCCAGCAACGGGAAGCAAGCTCTTCCACTGGTCATGGGTTGTTCGTGCATCAAGGGAACCCTGGATCTAAGACTAGGCTCCACAGCTAGGCCCTAATTTACCAACCAGAACTGAGCTATCCTACATCTACCTATCTCTGCTCTGTGTGGGGAGCAGTACCCAAACTCCTAACACCTGGCGTGGGCTGGAATGGCTTTTTTTTTTTTTTTTTTTTTTTTTTTTTTTTTTTTGAACTTCCACAACCAGCCAGTTCTGCTCTTCCGCATTTTGGCTTTTTGAAAAAGGGCCTGGGCGGGCCTGGCCCCTAGTATTAATGTTATCAATCTGCTTCCGTCAGGATTTGAACTCATCCTGCTCCTTTTTCCCTCTTCTTATCTTTTCTCAATGGTTTCAAGGATTGCCTAGTTTTTGTGTCCCCTCACGCTGGGCCCATTCTAAAGGGCAGGCCCCACTGGTGCTATGTTCATCCTTGGAAAAGATGAACCTGGCGTCGATAAAAGTCAGGTTCGTCCTTCCATAGCATGAACATAGCACCAGTGGCACTGGGGCCCTAAGTGTCTCTACCACAGTTCAATTTAATGGGTGGCCACAGAAAGCTCTCTCGTTTTCTTCTGCCGCTCCATAAGGTGCTTCCTCGTACAATGAGTGTGATCGCAGGCGGGCATGGATGCACATGTTTGTATGCTCATTTGCGCTTCTGAATTGGGGGAGTATACACGCGCACAAGAGAGAGAGAGAGAGAGAGAGAGAGA